TATAGGTTTAAAGCAAGGTATTTGGTATGATTCTTTTATAATTCCGTGCTATCATATATAGCTAATGCTATTGCACATTGCGTGTTTAGCATGCCCTTGAATGATATGAGTCATATCAATGGATTGATATTACAACATAAAACAATCAATATTGATTTCCTTAATATTAACTAAACGTCAGCACATCCGTACTATTTACCAGACCTTGACATTATTTGTATTGTTTAATTGTTATAACCTTGTTTGCTCTCTCTGTCTCTGTCTCTCACTCTTTCTTTCTCTCCTCCCCCTCTATCTTTGTCACTCTCTCTCCATTGCAGATATATAGAGGGATTTTATTCGCATTTAATGGTATACGTGATTGTTGTATGCAAAAAGGCATTAATGATAACCTATAAAAGAAATGTATGGTATCATTCAAATGAGCTATATGATCCTCCTAACTTACAAACATATATGCACGATCTGTTTAATATATCATTTTTCTTTCTGTACTCCTATCCGGCCATCCAGAAAGTCTTCAATTCCCTTTCTCTGACCATTATCTCTGTTCATTTCTCCCATCTCCTATCTAAATATATGAACCCCTATTCTTCCCTCCCACATCTCTCTCTCTCTCTCTCTCTCTCTCTTTCTCTCTTTCACATTTTCGCATATCCCCGTCCCTCCCTGTTTCTCTTTCTCTGCCTGTCTCTTTGTCTCTCACTGGGTATCTGTTTGTCTCTGGTTTGGTCTCTGTCTGTCTCCCGTCTCTCTCTGTCTCTGTCTCTCCCTCTGTAATATTTTTTTCATATCCCCTACCTTTGTCTGTTTCTCTTTCTCTGCCTGTAAATGTGTCTCTCTGTGGGTGTCTGGCTGTCTCTGGCTCTCTCTCTCTCTCTCTCTCTGGCTCTGCCTCTCTTTCTCCCTCTCTCTGTATCACACACATGTACATACACGCTCACCCGCACCCACACACAGACTCACAATTTTCCCCATCACACTCCGGACCCCTCCCACTTTGGCTTGCCTGTTTCTGTGTCTCTCTGGCTCTGTCTCTCTCTCTGCATCTGTCTCTCTCTCTCTCTCTATCAACCACTTTTTTCCCCTTCTCTCTCTCCCCATGTCCCTGCCTCCCTCTTTCCATTATCATAGTAAATTTTTCGGGTATTTCTTTACACAACAATGAGAAAAGGAAATACTGTTTTTCTACATGTTATCTAGATATCTGCGTGATGCACAAATCCTATTTATCCTTGTCGGATAGAAGAAAATAAAACTGTTACCAAATGCTATCATTGATGTCGGCAATGTTAGATTTAGAGATGAATTTATCATTACTCTTAATTACCTTCCAGATGTATACATCAAAAACCAATAGCAATCATTTTCTCCACAACAACAAAATGTCGCATGTAATGTGACTTCCAAAACCTTGGCATTTGAATACGGGGAGAGGGACATTTCCTTTAAACATTTTAATTTATTGGTGATGTTTCTGGCAGCAGGGAGAACAAAATGGATACGCATATAACAAATGCATTGTGTGAATAAAGATCTCAAAAGATTACAAAGGCTACATCTTCATCCTTATTTTTTCTTACATCGTAGAAACTCTTAACTGTTATACTTCGGCAATTAAATTAAAACAGTTAAGAAATGTAACACCTCCCTTCATAGGGTTTTTTGACCTTCTGTAGGGAAATCGGCGAATCGACTTTTATGAAAAATGTTTGAGAAATTGAAAGTATGACGTTATCTCACCTGCCAAACCCAGAACGACTAAATGAAATGCAAGTAGTATATCCATCGGAAACTTCATGGTGATGGTGTTAATCTGACACTTATAGATCACACAAAAAACTCGAGCCTCCAAGCATCGATGCTTCTAGGCCTATACCAGTGCCTGGTCGAATGGGTTATCGATGACACGGCCGAAGCTGTGGAATTCCGTTGAAGATGAGGTATTCTTTTCGAAGTCAACAACTTGAAATAGTTAAGTTCCTCAAATCAAATGATCGTGAAGTTTTTAAAATATCGACTCTCAGTGCAATGCTAAGAGTACTGATTCATTCTAAATATAGATATGACAATAAAGTCAAGTTGTCCGACATATCAGCGATGATGTCCTTTCCTTAATAATGTGTAATGTTTCGAAATATGTTTGCAGCCTCTTCCAGTTGTTGTCTGTATTGGTCCAACGGCATGTATCTACTGTTGTGATGAAATATTTTGCAGCATTGCTGAGCTCCTGAGCATGTCGAATTATCTGAAATATAAATATGTTTACTGATGTGGTCAAGAGAGTATATATATAAACAAGAGGGCGGAAATTAGTGAAAGATGGCGTCAGGCCTACCAAAAACCATGGTAACCGACAAATATAAAAGGAAAGACATGTTAATAATTTTTGAATCACGCACGCGATGGTGGTGAAATAAAGGTTTTTGCGAAGGTCGATTTTATTGTAAAAAGTCCGTTTTCGATACAACGCCGCCATGCATCATTGACTATGCATGAAAATGGTTATCATGATTATCAAATACGTATTTGTTCTGTTCCGGTTCCGTGGACCTTGCGCTTGTAAAAAATGATAGCATTTGTCCAAAAATCTCCAAATCAATTAATAATATTTACATATTGTTGGAATTATCCTCAGCAATGTAATGAAACAGGAAACAAATAGAAAGGCAAACACATGTTTGTTTTGATTCATTTATTATTTCACCCATTGACCGCAGATCCCCAAATTAATAATGCTTTCCTGATATTTATTGTACTTGTTTTATCTACTAATCAACATACAAATTAAGGGTATGATCCCAATAAGTTGTATTGCGTCCAGGCTACATCTAGTTATATACATCATATTTCAAAATCCAAAGAGGGGGGGGGGGGGGGGGTATGAGAATACGAATAGAAAACCTTTACACCGATTTAACACCGAGATTCCAGAGTTTAACTTTCCCTTCTTTCCCTTTCTCTCTCTCTCTCTTCTCTCATTGTCTCTCTCTATCTGTCTCTCCTTCTGTTCGTGCGTGCGCGCGCGCGTGTGTGTGTCTCTCTCTTTCTCCGATGGTTTTTTACTGTCACCCTCTCTTTCTACTTAAATCAGACAAACACACACACGCGCGTAAACCCACACACATACGCACACACACATAATTATGCTTCCTCATTGCTTCCCTCTCTGCATGTTCAATTACACGTCTATTAAAAATACACACGTAATTTCACATATCAAGTCATAGGAATTCATAATGAAGGACATGACTTCGAAAAATTACAAATCGATCTATTTGATTATCACGTATTGGTAAAATATATTGAATGAGTTATCAAATTTATTAAAACCGTGTTCCGTTCCCAACATTTAAAAAGTGATACATCGATTTAATGCTCACAAAAATATTTCACAATCATATAATACTTTACAAGTGCTCATAAAAGAAAATAGTATTGTTTGAAACTGCCCCCCAATAACAAATAGTAAATCAATTGAACAACAATAATAATGAAAATAATACGTTGAAATTCGACAATATAGTCGATATCAACTCCAATTTGTACAATAAAATGGTATTTTCATTACTTTATAATCATGATATTAGAGTATTGTTTCTTCTATCGAAATTTCATTGTAAACATCAGAGTAAAATATATATTTACACTTGCTATAGCGTATGCATGAGGTAATAGGTATTCTTAAATAACAATACTGTAGAAATAGTTTTCATGCACACACCCTTCCCAGTCGTTGTGTGTCTGTACTGTAACTGTATGTTAGACTACATATTCTACTGTGTAATATACATTGTATATAAATATATATATATATATATATATATATAGTTCCTTTTTTTAAACAGCCAAAGAATGACAGAGGTAGGCTACTCTCAAGGCTTAATGGAATTATTTTTTAGAGTGAAAATAGAGACTGTGCCTGCAGACAAGCCTAATTCTGTCACTCATCAGTCCAAAATATACACGGTACATGTATAAATAAACGATTTAAATGCAATGAACAATCACAACTGACACCTGGTAAGATATAAAGTATTCTGTAAAGATCATATCAACGCTCTTATGAAGAGGAAAATAACATCACTACATGGGTTCATGCTAGTAAATAATTTATCATTGATTGAAGGCAAACCCTGCATTAACTCCCGAGGTATGAGCAAACTCTTATAGCACCATTTCGTTAAAATATCAAACACTTTCAGTCAAAAGTGCACTCTATATAAATAGCTAGGGTGTCGGTCCTTTTTCACTACAACTAATTATATATCAATAATACATCATCATATTTATCAATTCATTCTCTCACTTTAATACTGTTGCGCAGGTCGATGTTTGCACTCTCGCAAACAATGCCTCCTGTTCATCCAAACGTGAAAACATGCCACAAAAAAAAAATACCAAACGATTCAGGATTGTATGATAACCTTTCGTTTCCTTTACAGCATGACAAAAATACGAAATGTAGTTTTAAAAAACCACGGCATTTTTTCCTGTTCCGTTCTCTGGAAACCCCCCACCTGAATATGACGACACCTGTCCCTATCCGCATTCTCTGCTTCGCAGCCAAGGGCGAAATGGAACTGTAATTTCCCTTTGAAGTTGGAATGATTTCTTTAAAACCTCTTTTCATGTAATGGTTGTGACAACAAAGTTAATTATTGTCTGAACTTTAGTGATCAATCTTTATGACCTTTTGAATTGACCAGTACAGTTTTGAGGACATATGAAAAATTAACCCATCCAGGGAATGGTCAGAGATGACTCACGTGATGTAACATATTTCCAACATGAAAAAAAAATATGGATGTATATGACGTCGAACGAGTCATAGGCCTATACAGGGGGGTATTTCACAAAGATCCAAAGTTGAACTTTTCTCTAAGTTGGACTTAACAATTATGGAACGCCGTTGGCATCTATGAAAATATTCTGTTAAACTATTTTTAAGAGGCATAACATGTTGATTCAAATCATAATTGTTTTCTATTATCAAGGAGATGTTATGTTCTTGATGTGGAATGTATAAAAAGTCTAAAATAATTGAATTGTCACTTTTGAGTATATTCTATTTTAAGCCTACAAATGGCTCTCCATGATTTTAACGTCCAACTTAGAGTTCAGTTCGCCTTAGGGTCTTGATGAAACACCTCCTGGATATACCCCGTTTGACGTCACGCTCCCCGCCCAAACATACGTGTGTTTTATTTATCACAGCGATCAGGAATAAAATATTATCACAATCACTACATGAAAAGAGGTAGGCTTCTATAAACTTAAATGTATTCCAACTTTTTGGGCAAAGTGTATTTTCCGATCAACCGGCCTTCAGACCACAAACGGATCGGCCTGCAAGCCAATGTAATGAGCGGCTCATGAGGTAATACTTCCTTCAGACTCCCCGTGCCTATTTGATGTTTGCTGCTAATAATATTTGATTTAAAAAGTATGTCAAAGTTATTGGAATTTACTCCACAGGTTACGGAAATCCAAAGAAAGGGTCAGCGGTGAGGTGAAAGCAATCCATCGGTGAACCTTCCGGTGTAAAATCACTCTCCTGACCCTCGAATCCGGCTGGTCCAGCCTTCATACACACAACCGATGTATCCGGTACGCTTCCGACGCATCTGTTTAGTTTTATTTTCAAAAGGAAGCATCGAAAAGTTTTGTATTGATAAAACAAGTATCGATTGGTAATTTGATAACCTATTACCAACCAGCATAGAGCCACTACAATATGGCCCACGGGATAGATTGTATGAAAGAGAACACATTTTGGAAACAAAAAAACCCATTTGTGTTTTGGTTCATCAAGTTTTTCAGATTTCTTGAATGGATTCCCTACTAAAAGCAACGAAGTCGGAAAGGCCAAGGGATCTTGTCAATTTATTCTTTACTTGTTATTTTAATTGTCGCTTGAAGCTTTGACTAATAAACAGGAAAATAAACATCAACATCTTTTAAAAGAAAACAAACACAAACATCCGAAATATCTGATTTATGATGTTCCAAGCTAGTAACTTTAAAACTTTAAAACCATATTTTCTGTCTTTGTATTTCTATTTTTTAAAAACATGATTTCTTTGTATTAGGAAATTGTGGCGAGGAAATAACAATTCAAGTGTTGCAAATTTTAAGCACAAGGGAGTAGCAGTGGTCGAATGAGAGAAAGGCTGAATGAAAAATGCCGGTATCATGGAGGAGCTCTCATACTTTTATGTATTATTTATGATAAGAATAAAAATAATTATAGTAATAATAATAATAGTAATAATAATAATATTTTGACAATAATGATAATAATTATAATAATAATGACATAAAATACATTTATAAACGCTGTACTGATATTATTCCGGAAGTAGCCAAGCGGAGTCATCGATGAATCACCATAATAATTCCTGTTTTAATGTCGCTGCTTCTATATTCATTACCTGAGATAAAATTAGGCAAATAAAAATCACCTGTTTTATGAACATAAAAATATCAGCTTATATCGTGATTGATTGAAGAACGTTTGTATAAAGAACAACCCCTCAAAAAAAAAAAAAATAAAGAAAAAGAAGAATAACTTGAAATCACCTGCAATAGTCGTCTCGTCCATCTCCGTTCTCGTCCTTCATGTACCAAGTATTGGAGTAGCCCGGGTCAAACCATTCCTTAGAGGCGTTGGGTGAGGTATACGCTAGTAAGTCATCTTCCATCGAACCAGCGAGAAGACAAGACATGAACGGCTTGCCATCAGCCCTTACTATCCTGATTTATAGAAAATGCAAATAAATATTTATAACTGATGCTGATGATGACGACGGCGACGATGATGACAGCTATTTCTACTTCTTGTCCTCCTCCTTCTTCCTCTCCTACTCATCTTCCACCTCTTCTACCTCCTCCTCCTCCTCCCGATCCTACTAACAAGTTTAATACTACTACTGCTGCTGCTGCTGCTGCTACTACTACTTCTTCTTCTCCTTCTTCCTCTTCTTATACTGATACAATGAGGAAAATCAAAATGATAATGATGATGATGGTCATCGTGATTAAAAACAACAACATCACCTTTGATGAAATTATAGTACCTGGATTCATTTCCTGAATATAAAAATGGCCGATTTATTTCCTGAAATATAAGTGCAAAAATAGTGTTGCAGTCAAGTACTATTAGGTCATAAACAAACACAAACAATTGCTATTTCTATGTTTGTTAACATCAAATACCATCGTTGCCTACCTGCAAAAGTCATTTGGCGCCCCCTGTCGCTGAACGTCGGTCCAACCCCTAAAGAATGACGTCATACCCCGATCATTGATGACGTAGGAGCGCGCCAAAACGGTTCCGTTTGCGGGGCAAATAGTAGAGGGCGCGGTCCCATTCCCTGATAGTGTGGTTACGTTGGATCTGGTGGTGTTGTGGTCCAGGTTCGCGGATGTGGTAACGTTCGAATCTGTCAGGGGAAGATGGAAAAGAAAAAGAGAGAGAGAGAGAGAGATGGAAAGAGGGATCGGGAGAGAGAAAGAGAGAGAGGAGAAAGAAAGAGTGAGCGGGAGAGATAGAGAAATGAAAGAAAAAAAGAATGAACTAATATGAACTCCACGCTATGCTGGGTACGCTACTATGGACCTTGGACTATGAGGCATTTTTTGATGCGACGTTGTACTGCGTCAGCTACTGGCGCAGTCGTTGGCCCCCCCCTCGTAAGTAAGTGTAAGTGAACAATGCGAGCATTGCGTTTGCGTTAAATTACTAAATTCCTGTTCAGCTCAAATAGCGTAGGTAATGACGCAATAGAAAACATACCCTGTGTCCAACATGGTTTTAATAACTATCTGACCATTGGAAAATTCGACGAAAATAAATCCTACCTATCGCTCCTGATTCCACGGTGTAATTCATCATCATTGTGACGTTACCTAACGTAACATTTATGGAGCTTTGTGTAGGCTGCATCGTTGCATTGTAAATCATTGTGACGTTTTGTGTTGGAGGCAGTGTGACGTCGTACGTCATCGTGGAGTTGTACGTCATTGTGACGTTGGAATTCATTGTGAAGTTGGAAGTCATCGTTACGTTTGCAGTCGTTGACTGATTTGACGTCGAATTGCCTTCAGACGGCGTTGACGGTGTCGTCTGCGAAACGTATTGTGTTCCTGATCAACAAAAAAGAGAAACTTTGAATTTGTGGATAATTATCAGCTGGAAGTTTCCTCTCATACTATGTATTGCAATTAAAAAGGTCAGCTACACATTTGTAAAAATAAACGTATTATTGATTTTAAAGGTTTTCCTTTGTTTAACATGATCTTAGAGCGGTTGAGTTTATTAATATAATACGTAACATAATCTATTAAGCTTTCCACATACCATTTAACTTGATGAACATTGTTTTCTCCATATTCTTAAACAAGCAGATGTATTCGCCAACCCATGATGAATTCAATGACGTAATAGTCAGCATGGAGGTGAATGTACCGACATCGGTGCTGTATACCTCTTTGATGCTGTTCTCCTTCCCTGCGTTGAGAGAGAAAGAGAAAGGGGGAGGGGGATATGATAAAGTAGGTAGTAGAGAGCAGGGGCGTAGACAACGGGGGGGATGAGGGGGATGCATCCCCCCCACCTCACAAGGTGGGGGGGATGGCATGTACAATCATCCCCCCCAGGTTTTGGGGAATGATATTTGCTTACTTAATAAGTCATAATGATGATAATAATAGTAATAATAATAATGATAACAATTATAATATTAATAATAATAATAATTATGATGATAATAATAATCCTCATCATTATTGTAATTGTGTTTATTGTTATTAGCCGGTTCAGACGGTAAAAAAAAAGAAAATCTTACAAGATAACCACAAGATTAAACATGCGCGGATCTACGGGGGGGGGGGGGGGGGTTAGGGGGTTTAAACCCCCCCCCCCTTGGGCGGCCCAAAAAACAAACAAACAAAAAAGGGGGAAAAAAGAAGAAAAAAAGAAGAAAAAAAAAAAGAAAAAAAAGAAAGAAAAAAGAACGCACGCTGGAGAGAAACCCTTTCAAGTGCAAATAATGTGAGAAGATATTCAACTCATCTGGTACCTTAACCAAACACATGATAACTCTGGATATATCTGTGTATTTAACTGTTACTTGATTTAAAAAGACGTTATCATGCACTGCTTTTTATGGTCTCCATTGTGTTTATAGATGCCAGGAAAACATCACTTTAATACGGGGTTCAAATAAACACCCCAAAAAAAATCGGCTCGCCGCTTCGCGGCTCGTGGACGATGCTCCGCATCGTCATTATTGGTCAACCCCCCCTTAGCAAAAAGCTAGATCCGCCCCTGAGTCATCCTCCCCAGGTGTACGAACCTGTCTACGCCACTGGTAGAGAGAGAGAGAGAGAGAGATGAGAGAGAGAGAGAAAGAGAGAGAGAGATAGATGGGAGTGAGAGAGAGAGAGAGAGAGAGAGAGAGAAGAGAGAAAGTGTGGGGGGGGGGGGTGGCATGAGTTTTTGTGAAATGGAGAAGGTAAGAAGAAGCAAAACTAAGAAAAGAAGAACAACAACTATAGACATAATGGGGAAAAGGGGCATTATGAAACTATCATAGCCATTTATATACAAAGTTAAGCCAACTCAGTTTATGGTGGGGAAAATTTGCCGAATATTGCTTTGGTGGACAATCACAAAACAAGAGAATAAACGCCACGTTGTGACCAACACAAAAATGTGGGCCAAACTCTTTGTCGAGACAGATATATGGCTCTGAACATAGGCATGCGGATCCACATCAACCACATACATTTTCAGACCAAAATTACATAGTCCCTATCTTTCGGCTAAAAACTAATTGTAATTTTGCCCCATCGCTACGTCTGTAGTTCTAAAAAAGAAAGAAAAAAGTCCTTTCATTAAAAAAGAAGGCTTTCACGTCGTACGGGTCTCATATAATTCATGAATATTCTTCGAAATGTATGATAGAACTGTATAATCCTGAACTAGTGATCATTGTTTATATTTATTTGAAGCAATATATTTCATTTTTTACTCTGTGCCATTTGCCTTGTAAAGGGACAATATGCAGCAGAATAACTGAATTCCCATAGCCATGAAATTACATTTTATCTTCCAAACAAGGTTCAATTAATTTAGCATTAATTCAAAATCTGAACATAAAGTAGCCTACCCTCAGCTGCGATTTCTATTCCGTTGGGGTCGAACCACTGCGGCCGACTGCAGTTCGTACAACTGGCTGAGCAGAATGCGTTGACCTTTGACCCTTCATCTGTGATCACCTGACCCCGTCCGCCAATGAGAGGCCAAAGCGAGATCTGCCCTTCTATAATCACGTGACAAACAAACGAGTGAAACAAATCAATGCATGGATGATTTTTTTTTTTTCTGAAAGGGAAATTTCATGGACCTCACATCAAACTTGTTGACATTAGTAAAATTCAAGCATTTGATTCTCCCTCTAGTACTTTTCTTTTCTTCATTGTGATCGACTTAAAATCCAAACGTGATAATAAATTGTGTTGCTCTTAAAATGCATGATGCCAGGCTTTTGCATCTTTTTACGCAAATGGTAATGACCAGGCACGTAGCCAGAGTTTGATGTTTTTTATTTTTGTTATTTATTTATTTATTTATTTATTTATTTATTTATTTTATTTATTTATTTATTTATTTTTTTTTTTTTTTGGGGGGGGGGGGAACATACATGTAATCGATCGGGGTAAAAAAAGGGGTCTAAAAAAGTTCAACCGATCTTGGAATTTTTTGGGGGGCACGGGGCATTGTGTATACATTATCTTCGGGTGAGCCTGAATCCCATGACCGGGGTGACACTATATCTCTAATGCGCTTGGAGACATCGTCGATGTATTTAGCGCTATATATGCTTTTATATAGCTTATTATTAATGTTATACCATTTGGTATAACGTTGAATAACCTACCGTTACTGTAACACATCGCACTCTCATCGTATATGGACGGGTAGTCATTGCAACTCAACAGACGAATCTCACTGTAAAACCCCGCAATTGGGTCGGCGTTACATGAATCCACGACCCGCTGACACAGCTCACGACAAGGCAGCAATGGTTCTGACAAAGAAACGGCAACAGTATACATTTAACAAAATTCATTCATACTCCCGAAATCTGATTTTCTTTCCCTCGTAATTCAAGAATGAAAGGTTGACTGGTTGAATAATATGTCTCATTCACAAGAAACATAAATCGGGACAAAATGTTTGTTTACATACTTCAAAAAGATTACTTAACTTGGCAGGGGTATTAATAATTTGGTTGTACATATTGGCCCGAATTCACAAAGAAGGTTTGTCGACAAACCTCCTTTTGTTATTTGCAAACCAGGTTTGTAAAAAACGCGTCAAAACGCGTCATATGACGTACATAAACCTCGGTTTGTCGACAAACCTCCTTTGTAAATTCGGGCCATTGAATATACAATTGTATAAATGAGAGATGACCTCAGCGTTGAATAAAAGGTGAACCTGAGTACCCTTTCATGGGTGAAAACAAACATTGGAATGAAATTCTTAAAGTGTAAAGAGAGAGTCTGTTTAGGATAGTCATTAGTTTAGAAAGGAAGGGGAGGAGAGGGGTGAGAGAAGGTCAGGTGCATTAGGTTATAATTCGCAGACACCAGACTCATGCGTTTACAAGTCCCGCACACACCAAACCCGTAGTCCCACCAAAAAATACCCCAAATTTCCCAAATTTGGGGTTAAGGAATTGTACGATAATGACTTTTCTACATTAGGCGATTGGTGGAAAAATACAAAGCATTACATAAGGCCTGTCGGTCACAACATTGAAGTCTAACCCTCGGGTGGATGACAAAACCTGTAATATAGTCGTTGTAGTTGCGGTTATTTTACCTGACTGCTAAGAAAGCATAAATGATTTTTAGTAAGCAACAAGAGGACCGACGGCTCTAGGTCCTCTCCGAAAGACTTCGTACTAAGGATTAATGCCTTACCAAGGGCGCTAGCGCATCGCCTTGGTTTCGAACCTGGGTCACCGGATTATTTTTTGTTATTGCGTAAACACCCGAATGGTGTCAAAATCCCAATGAAAGTCGACTGTTATGCGTCTTCAAATTGCATCAGATTCTTACCTACTTCAGGCCCCAATCTGGTGCAAGGCGGCGCGTACACCGTGCATAAGAATTGCTTCATATACTCAGCGCACTCTGTATCCCGGTTCCTCAGTATCTTCTCCACTGGTGCGATGATGCTGGCCGCAGCCGCCTGAGATGAAAAGCCTGACCCGCTGGAATACTGCACGTGGCGGTAATTCACATTGCTACACAGACTGCGAAGTGTAGAATACGTAATCTCTTCACAATGAGCTGGAAGAAAAAAAAGGAGAAAGAAAATGGCATTTGAAAAAATTATATAAGCAGAGAGTAATAATGAGAATGTTGGAAGAGATAAAAGAAAAGAAGAAATATATACGAATCCATGTAATCTTATACTTTGATACGATTTATGTTTTTGTTGTGCAATTCATAATAATGATGATGATAATGGGGGACGTTCACGGTTTCGGTGATTTAGTTTGCCTGGCCCATTTCTGGCAACTTGTAAATGTTAAAGGAATGAATCACAACAATGATTTTTGTTTGTTTTGTATGATTTGTTCTTCTATGTAATTCTTTTGTATACACTTTGTTTGCCGGATAATAATAATAATAACAATAACGTGATAATAATTAATAATACTAATAACAATGATAACAATACAAATAATGATAAGGATAATGATATAAAATAACAACAATGACAATACTAGTGACATTAAGTACACTGCTACTAATACTAATGATTAAAGTCACATATTTTAAGCGCTTAATTCTACCACTCCGGAATTAGCCAAGCTACTCTGATAAAGCACTCCGGCATTCAGGGAATTTCTTCCTACCAGGTACCCATTTACATCACGTGGGTAGAGAGGGTCAAATGTAGATTATAATGTGTTTCCAACTGTAGAAAATAGTGCCGCGGTGGGACTTGAACCACGAATTATGTGAATTCAGAGTCAGGGGACATATCCACTAGACCACACAAGCTCTACATTATTCAAGAATATCTTCAAAGGAATTTAATTTCAAAACGCCGTTTCTATACAATCAACGCGTAATCTACTGCTGTGCAGACGGCCTCATCTGTTGACCAGTTCAAGAAACTACTCAAGTCACATATATTCTGCTAGAATTACTTTATTACCAGCCTACATTATACTTTACTAATCTCTGAGAAGTGTTTAACTTTTGTTTTTAAGTGGCCCAAACATTGTGGAGCGTGTGTGCAGCGCTTTGTAACTGCAAGGAAAAGGCGCTATATCAAATATCTTTTGGATTGGATTGGATTGGATGAAACACCTTTAATTTTGTTTCAGTCTAAGTCAGTGGATGGACATGGGGCCGTAGAAAAGACTTCACACCATGAGAACAAGTCAAGGTGAAAAATGTTGTTCTAGTTTTCGGAATTCCGCTATTACAGACAAGTCACCTCAAGTGATTTCCGCGTCTTCCTCCTTAGCCTCGTCTTCAGGCTCAATAAACTCGTCATATTAAACATTGAGAATGATCCTATGTTTGGATTATAATCAATACGATGCGAATCGAATTGAATTATTAAACGAGGGGAGGGGGTGAGACTGCAGAGAGAAGACGGGGTGAGGGTAGGGGGTAACAAATTATACTGTATATGGGGGGGGGGCACATTATAAGAAAGGGGCATGTGTCGGTTTGACGAAGCGCCCTAACTCTCACATGAAAGGGGTGTTTGTCTTCTCATTCATGTTGTTAGAAAGCTCTTAGAATGATAATTTGACCCCCCCCCCCAAGAAAAACTACATTTGTATTAATTCTTCAAAGGAGAACCGGTTTACACTTGTTTAGGCACAATCTGATGGTTCGATTTTAAAATAAATAAGGCACCATTTCAGTTCTTATAGATGATCGATAACTTGCATGAATCAAACAGAAAAATCGCAAAGAAGTGGGTCGCTTGAATTTGCTTTTAAATTGAATGGTTGTTACTAGGAATCTGAAAAAGGGAGAGCAGAGAAGAGTTTTGAAAATATAGATACACCGTCTAAAACAGTATATGGCTGACCTCAAGTCCCTGCCCGATAACCAATGGAATTGACGGGTCAATCACGTATCAATTAAATGGACTGAACTATTCGTAGTTCACCACCATGATCATGACCAGGACTATCTGTTACCCCTGACATGTTTAATTAAGGGTGACTTCACTTTTCAAATTAAGGGTGAGTTTACTTTTCAAAATAGTCATTATTACCGAACGTCTGGAAACCCCTCGGCACAATGACTATTATGTCAAGGCAGCAAAAAGAAATATAGTTAACAACTACAATATTTATACCCTTATCGATTTTTGTAATTTCTGAGGTATGTGAAAGTTGATTTGTTTCAATTAATGTTGCTGGAGAATGTGACTTATTAAAGCATACATCTAAAAGTATTCAACAAAGACCCTAATTCGACCAGTTCAGCTTTCATTCCTGAGTTACGAAAAACACAAAAATCTAATTTAGAAGGGTTATGAATGATTGTTAACCGTAGTAGTTAATTTAAATCAATCAAACAAGCTCCTCCTCAATGGCATAGTGTGAGTCCATCCATCAAGGGGGATGAAGGGGGGGGGGGGCAAAGGAACGACTGCGGGGCACCTGTTTTATTCTAAACGTGAGGGCGAGTTTACAAGACTGATTAAAGGAAAGGGTGAGGGATGTGGTCCATACGTTTTATTTTCTCCTCATTAATCCCTTCTCCCTTTCCCGTTCTCTCTTTTCATTTTTGGTTATATTTTATTTCACCGTTTAAATGGGGGAGGGGCGTGCCCCTGTGCCCCTTTTTTGTAAAAGCTACGCCACTGTATCTCCGTAGCTGTACAATATCCTCTATTTCCCATGTAGTCCATAAAATAATGTTTGATCGTTCTCCATAAAGACCCTTTATGATTGGCTTTATATCCAGGTTCCATACGTGCTACGATCATGCGTGGGTTGATCGCACTTTGATTAAATGTCAGTGACCGGCTTATTCGTTTTCAAGGTCGTATCATTACCTTGAACTTTAAACGGCTCCACAGTACTGCGATAAGATGTCATAAATCAGAGAAAATTCGAATAAAAACTAATTGCAACGCTCCCGGTTGTGGTATCGATGCAGCTACCCTAGTATTTAAATAGGACCCAGTTATTTATTACATCATAAAACGAATGAAAATAATAATTTGTATTTCCTTTCTTATGATATGAATCGGCCAAAGTCAAGGTTGAATTATATCCATAGGCGTATCGTTAAAACAAACAACTTGTCATATCATAAATATGTTAAATAAAAAGACATGTTCTTACGGTGAATATAAGGTTCCATGCGGGCATCTTCAAAAGCACCAACATCCGTCTGGTTGAAGGCTCGGGTCAGAACCGTGTAAGCCGCATCTGAGGTCAAATCAAGATGGAGCTGATCCTCACCAGCAATCACGCCCTCACCGCCGTCGTCTCCCCGGTCGTTATAGTAGATGACGTCAAAGCCTGTGACCTCTGGACTGAGGTTGGGTTTCGGGTCCTTGACCAGCACCCAGCCATCGTTCGACGCGGATCGCTCCACGGTGAAGATGACGGAAGGGACGTATGGTTCCTCCGGCCTGGGTGTGGCTTCGGTGCTGGTTGTGTTCATGACGGGTGTGGTGGTATTGGTGGTGGTGTTGGTGGTGGTGTTGGTGGTGGTGAAGGTAGTTGAAGTGGTGGTCTCTTGTTCTCTGTAGGTGCTGAAATCTGCATAAGAACAAGCATGAAAACAATCATGAACAACTGGTATTCATGGGACATTGGCAAAATTGAGGCGGTGGTGGTTCTTTTTTTTTAAGAGGGGAAGTTTAAAATTCTTTAGAAATGCACCAATAGAAAATATAAATATCAATTTGACAAGAAAGCCAGAGCACAATAAGGGTTTTAAGAGATGAAATACTCAATAAACTCACCAGTCAGGCATTTCTTTTCCTCTCTCCTGGAAGGGTAGTTTCTGCATCCGAAGACTTCCTCTGACTTGAAGCCCATGCGCTTCATCTGACCCTTGCACTTCTGGTTGATGATCTTCCTGCATGTGTCCTTGCAGGGGGGCATTCTCTCCCCTGTTTGATAGTCGCATGCTGGTAGGTAGGCCCCACAGATGAGGGCAAGGAGGTCCCGGGAACACCCTGTTTCCACCAGAGGCATCAGGCGTTCAACCTCCTCTACGATCTCGACCTGAGCTGCCGTCCAGCCGAATATGTTGCTCATAGAGATGTTGCGGAAGCCTAATCTTCTGCAAGCATCCACCTCGTTCTGCTGGCAGAGCTCCCGGTCCTCCGGCGGATAGGGAACCCCTCCAAGGGTTCCTATGAACATATGAAGTAACACTGGGAACGAAAAGAACAGGGTTTTGGTTAAATCAACCATACCTCCATTTGGGAAGAACGCTTCGTCAGTTAACCAGTCCAAGAAACTTATGAAGTCCCATTTATTTTGCTAGAAAACAATGGATTGTATTGGCCTTAGTATTTAATCATGTTATTTTTAAGTGTTTGTTTACATGAAGAGCAATGTGTTCAGCATTTAGTAACTAGAAGGAGAGGGCGTCATATTAAACGTTGGACTGGCTCGGGTTGAGAAATAGAGGCAGGAGAAAACCAACATTTGGTAACAGAGAGGCAAAAACTTCACATTGGGCGACATCATACTGGTTCTACGAAACCCAGTAAGAGTATAGTGTCAGGCATAGTGTTAGGACTAATTCTTGGTGAACAGCTAGGTAAAGGCTTATTAGAATAAGTGTCACGTTTAGTGTTACCTACAATCAGTTTTAGTGCTAGGTTTCGGATGTGGGTTAGCTTTAGCTTTTAGTGTTATTGGTGAATAAAAAAGGAGCTGATCTGTGAAATACAATCAACTTGGGTGTTTAAGACGTAACAGCCTATCTCCTGAGCGTGGTCAAAAGAGCCTATTATGAGCTAATGTTATGAAACGCACATATTCTGCTTTCACATAGGCTTCCCTTCCCCCCCCCCCCCAAAAAAAAAAAAGAAAAAAAAAAAGAAAAAAAAAAAGAAAAAAAAAAAAAGAATCGAACAAAACTATTTATTTAAGCTTCAACTATTCCCTTTAAATCTTTTTGAGCACTGATGTATCCATGTGGAAAGAAATCACTCAAAGCACCAATTCAAAAGTCGATATCATATCCCTTTAAGAGTATTCAGTTGAATGGAGATAAACACCCCCCCCCAAAAAAAAAGAGTAAAACAAAATAAAACCAATGCTACAAGTGGAAGAAGAGGAAACCATGTGACCATTGAAAAGATAAGTCGAAAAATATAAATCGTTTATAAATCCGCTAAAAGGACATGATAGAAGAAGCCCCTTTGTGAGTTTTCAACAAAATAGATTGACCTAGCCGATAAAAAAACAGGACACTGAATGGGACTACGGATTAACCTGCACCGAGCTTAGCGAATCTTATACAAACAGAGGCAATGGTCTTCAGGAAAAGGGTCATATCACAATGTATTTTTTATAAACAGTACATTTCATAATATTAAAGATAAAGGCGAGTTCTGGTAATGCGATTGCATTGTGAAAGAAAAGGTGTGGAATGGATCAGAAAAAGTTGATCATATAGCATGTAAGTATTGGTGTGTACTGCAAGATTCTGGAGTCATCAAAATCATCATACATTTGGCCCAGTCTTGGTAAAGTAACAATCGCTGTACACAGAAAGATGTATATGGGACAACACAAATGGTGTCGGGGCTAGTACCACCTTGATTTCTTTATCTTTCTATGCTCATTACTCAGCCATTATACATTTTCTTCCATTTTTTTTTGGTACATGACATTTAATTGTAATCTTGAACATTCAGTGTAAGTTTCGTAAGATTCTGTGAGAATTCATTTTTTATTTTTTACCAGAACTCAAGTTTATCTTTAATTATTCCTCCCCAAAACAACATCAACAGTAATATAATGATCTGTGCACAAAATGATGCTAACAACTTTTCGATTTGTTTTAAAAGAAAAGGAGATAAATTAAGCTATCATGAACTACGACAAGGTAATTTAACTTATTGCCAGACAAAGTTGACAACGTCATAAAACTTTCCGTGTTCGATTCTTATGATGTTAAATATGCAAAAATTATCTTGGCTAATGTCCCAAAGTTGTGTATTTACATTTATTTGCTCATGTGAGTCACGTATATCATGTCTAAATGTTTTTAAAACGTTATTATTATTATCTAGTTTTATGATTTTTTTTATACGCCTGCTATTGACTTGTCCGATCAAACTCTCCATGTTAGATTTTTATGATATGAAATCCGTGTCAATTATCTCGCCTTCTGATCTAAAGCTGTTTACCCTATCATTTGCTCATTATACATATAGCGTGCCAGATTAATTTCCTTTAATCGTATATTTGTTATGATTGTATTACATTATATTGTTTAAAATTCTTCATTAGTATCAATTGTATAGCATATACAAATACCTCTGTGTTGCGCCCCGTTAGGTCATAATGTATTTCACCTATTGTTCATATAACTGATATCCTTTTTGTTCTTGGTCCCCTTCTTCCTCTTATTATCCTCCTTTTTCTTCTTTTTCCTTCTTCTTCTTTTTTTTTTCAAGTTCATTATAACTATTATTGCTATTATTATCATTATTATTGTTCAACATTCATTTCCGGAGACTCTGAATTACATAATAAAATGAAGTGAAAGGGAAAAATGAAAAAAGTTCGATAAAAAATGTGATTGGATCAAATTTCAAGAAGTTAAAGGTGATGCACAGTTTTGGGAAATTTTGAAAAATGGATGGATAGTAATTCTTTAAAATGTTGATATATTTGGATGCCTCTGTGGATATTATAATCATTAGAAAATTGAGCCCCGAAACAATTCTGCTTTCGAGAAAATGTTGATAGACCGAACGTAATATTTCAATCATGCAAATGCTTAGCTTGTAATGGCATTCAGACTTTGCATTTTATATGTCTGGTTTAGTAATTTGTACAAGTGCGTGTCAAATCTTAGTTATTGCATGGTACTAATCAGGAAATGATTGTTGTTTCATAATAACAACCTACTACAACTAGTTCATACAGGAGAGGTGACCTGATATTTTGCTCCAGCCTTTATTTTGTCAAAGATATAGGGTCGAGTTCTGGGTTAGAATTTGTTTTTATGTCAGGTTTTGGGGATATGGATCTGAATTGGACAGATATTACATGAAATAAAATGCAGAATCAAACATTAATGCGGCCTGTATTCATGTATTACGTCTCTTCAAACAGATGAAGATATTATTATTTATTCTCTTCAAAATAGATTTATTATTTATTCGTTTTTTCAAAATAGATGGTACAAAAACAACAAAAAAACAAAAAATATTTCCAAGTACGCCCCCTATGAGAGCGCCAATGGCTGTATTATATTATATTAATTGTTTACTGAAAATTTCACATGTTATATATATATATATATATATATATATATATATTGTAATACAAAAATATTCATAATTTGTGAAGTGTTTTGGCTACCTTTAATAAAATAGTACACTATTCAAAATTCTTTCATAAAGAAAATGATCATTGGACACTAAATTGCACCTTTAAAGAATTATGAAACCCAATGTTTCATGATATACATTCAAACTACATTGAATGTATCACTGTTGAGTTGGACAGTGACAAATTATATTTCTTTCCTTCAATACCATGTTTGAGGGGCAATGTTTAGTTTTAATGTGTCTGTAAACCCTCTCCTGGTGGTAAATGTTGTCACCTTTAAATATTATGTAATGTCCAGCCAGATTAATTTAACTTTGAATTTGAATTTGAATTTATTAACAACAACACATTATAACAATGACAGTACATATTAACAATCATACAATACAAAGAATAATACTGATACCTGTATGCATACCATAAGAGTAATGTTGATTGAACAGTAATGTTTTTTAAACGATATTTAGACATAGCTCTGCATACTATTTAATGTACATTAATATATTGATATATACGTAAATATGTGTATTACTATATTTAGGTGAAGTTGTTATTGGGAACTAGTTAGCACAAGTGCTAGCCGAACCTAGGATGTAGTAATACAAATAATATCATACAGATGTGCATGACAGAATTTAGTCCACGGATGATAAAGGAAAGTTTAACACAATTCTTAGGGGCGTTTGTCGACCCCATCCCAAAGGTTATTTGTCTAATAGTGTTGGGATTATTCTTATTAATATCCATAATCTTTTTCGTACTGAGAAAGGCGCTAGGGTTTAATCAGTGGGATGAAATCGATCTATTTTAAAGGGAAGTCCACCATGATAGCGAGCTTGTATTAATAAAAGCAAACAAGAATACAAAAAGTGAAATTTTGAGCAATATCCAATTAAAAGTAGGAAAGTAATGTTTTCTTTAATGTTTTCATCAGTGGAACAAAAATGCCTATATTGCGACATATCTCCTCTCCAAATTGTGTATTTTTTGTTTTAAAAACTTTCATTCTTTTAGTTATTTTTGGCGGAATAAATTTGTTTCATATAGGGGTTGTATGAAAACATATTTGACATAAACATACTTAGGGTGCACGTATTTTTATAGGAAAAATATGATATATATCGAATAAATTTCTTACATATTTTTTATTACAAATTAAATGGGAGGGGAGCTCGCAAGATACGTCACATGATTGCAACTTTCTTATTTTTAATCAGATTTTGCTTAATCTTTTACTGAACGATTTCTCTTATTTTCGGCTTTCGCTAAAACCATGTTAATTAATATCACGGCGCTTTCCCGTTGGAAAGGTAGAAAATTGTAAATGAAACTGGGGGACTATTTCGGGACAGAATTCTGGCGTAAAAAAGTCATTACCGGTATTCAAAGTTAAATTCGACATCCTTTTGTATTATCATGATGCAAAGGCGACAGTTTCAACCCATCGTGTTGATAGCTAGCTAAATGTATTTCAATTATTCATAAATTATTGTTCATTTACAGAGTCACCTTGAAGCAACAAGGCTAACCGAAAAAACAATCGGAAAATTTGTATGAAAATCAGAAGAATACGAACCATCTAGAACATGTTTATACTCACCAAATGTCCAGACGAATATTGAAAGAAGTCGACCACTTTCATGGTTATGCTTTGCCATCCTGACACCTGACGTCTTATGACTCGTAGAACTTTAATTAACTCAAAATATCTTCAGTGTGACGTCAACAACTGCCAGAATCCAACGACATGGCTCTTACTTTTGATAAATACTGGTGAAAATAGTTGTGTGATTATTCGGAATGATGAACCAATTAAAGCTTGTAGGGCTATTCAATATATATCAGAATATAATGAATATGAGGCGGCTTTAAATTACAACTTCCTCCTCCGCAAGTTGTTCCTGACTCTCGACCTCTCTAAATCCTTCACTGTCAGTCTGGTGAAGTATAGTAACCTTGTCGAGGCGTCAACGTAAAACTACTATGGGTCAATCGACCCCACTGATTTGGCTAAATCTGCTCTCGATTATCACTATGCTTCGGAAAACTTAGGATCGGAAGAGAGCTCAATTTCAGAATCGGCCGGTTAAAGTTGTCGGGGTATTACTAGAGCCGTGATAGAAAAAACAAAGATGGGCTCCATTCCGAGGTCAGGTACGATGGGGACAAGGACCTAAAACCGGTTTAAATCCTCTAGTTCCGGACGGAAGGTTATAGGCTCATCGTATCATCGACTTTAAGCATTTCAGTGGCTTCTTTCTATTGGCACTATACTAGTATTTTGCAGTAATGCATATTTGGTATGTATACTATTCAATATGTGATTGTATACAAATGATGCATGCGAGGTTCTTTTTAAAACTATGCGCAAGAGGTGACCTCCAATAGTACTATTTGCTGAGGGGCGCAGCCCAGAAGCAAATGGTACTATTAGAATTACCGAGGCCAATAGTTTTAACCAGTACTTCGAAAAGAAGGCATGGTATATTTGTTTGATATCCTGCATAAAAAAAAGTATTTATAAAAACGAAAACAAAACAAAAATGACATTTTGTATTGAAATATTTAGGAAATTTCAATTTGTATAAAAAAAGAATTAACAATTTTTTTTGTATTCAATTGAGATATGAAGAAGAAAAAAATCAACTCCCAAATAATACTCCCAAACAATACTTTTTCAAAGCAACCTTAGAATAGTTTACGTGACGAGCTTTCAACCAATCAAAAACCATTAAATTGTTGATGCAGGATACTATACTTCATAGTTTTGGGTAACACGTTTACTGTTGCAACTAATGAAAGGTATGTCTTGGTACAAATGATAAGTAAAAAATAGTACAAGTTTAGTTCTGTACTTAAGCTTATTCTTATTTGACACAGCCAGAGTCTGATAGAGGCCTACCTTAAAAATATATAAAATGTCGAATTAAAGCCTATCTGCACTAGTTTGGCCAGGGGGATTAGACCCCCCCCCTCCCCCGATGGTCACTGGCAGTTGGTTACCTCATCAAATCGGCTCTCAATTAACATAAGAAAAAGGGGACCACGGGGGATCAACGGGTACCGCTTAGATATTGTTTGCTTTATAGAGGGCGCAAGTAGCTACACATAGTGTCGTTCCGCTTTAAAGTCTGCGCATGCAGACTAGTCTGTATAGGAATTTGATTTCTCACCACCACATTGAAATTATTTGGCAATGATAGGATAACAACAAACCGTTCACATACATTGTTCAATTCAGATGGAAGAATCATGAGACAAAAGTGAGAAAACAAAATCAATCCAATATCCATTTTCTACTATATAAATTAATTTTAATATGTAACGTAATGTATATAACTTTTCATAATACAAACAAATGAGTGAGGTCCCGTAAATGTACTGTTGTTTTCTACAGAAATCAAACGGCAAATATATATTTGAGGTTAATAGGCCGCAGATAACAAGTAATATAACCTGTTTAATACATTGAAACTATAAACAGAGATTTGTATGTGTTGACACGCATTAAAAGCCCTAAGCTTTGACTACATGTACTTTTTACGACTCAGTTTGTAGGTTATGTTTTGATTCTAAATACGCCATTCTTCATCTTCCCAGTTGATCAATGTCAACTACCTTTCCGTTCACAAGATTATTAGTACGAGGTTATGCAAGGTCATGCACTTTTTTTTCGAAATGTTAATTCAATGGTGTCATCCTGGTTCATTCCTAGATGCATTCACCGTAGGCCATGCATGGACGTGAATATTAGGGGTTGGGGTGGATACCCCCACATACTTTACACTCTAAGAAAAAAGGGTGCAAAAAAGGGTGCAAAATAAGAGTTTGCACCCTTTACATAAAAATGAACCCTATTGAAGGAAAAGGGGTTCAAAAATGGGCGCAATATAAGATTTTGCACCCTTCCCACAAAAATGAACCCTATCGACCAAAAAAGGGTGCAAAATAAAAGTTTGCATATTGCATGCATATTCATGATTACTTTCCACGACGTGTTCACATAAAAATACATTTATCATGATTTGTTAAGCAAATTATGACAATGCATATCAATAATATTTTGTGATTTGTATCTACCTTTGGCAATCATTAACCAATAGATTATTTTGTCTGATCATGTTACAATTACATTCACATTTTAGCAATAGATATATTGATTATATGATTACTAACCAAGAAACATCATGCATGTTTAATATGTATTTGTGTACGAGCGAATTTTACCAGTATTCCTCGACGATGGGTGCAAGATTGCACCTTTTAAAGGGTGCAGGATTGAACCCCTAAAGGTGCTGTTATTGCATCAGTTTGCACCCCTAATGGAGCCGGATTGAAAAATTAAGGGTATTAACATGTCTCCTAAAAGATGCAATCTGGCACCCTCTTAAAGATACTATTTCCCTTTTGCAGCCAACCTCAAATTCTGTAGAACTTTGCAGGAATTATGAATATGTCATGTATGTCCTATCTGTGAAATTTAAACGTTAGCAGTGTCCTCATATTCAAATTATGCAAGGAAACCCGTTTAATTGCTAGACTTCACTATCAGACACTATTGAGTGACTGGCCTTTTTTCTTCTTTGGTATTAACATGCATAAAATGAGCTGTAAAGGGTACATGAGCATTTGTCTACATCAATACCCCACTTCTTGTGATGGCCAAGAATTAAACTTATTGAATCTTTGCGCAGCATAAAACGTATAACCATTCGGTACAATTGTCTGAAAATCAAGACTATTACTTTTGGGCTCTATAGCCCTAAAGTCGATTTGACAACTAAAAGTCATTATTTTCCCACTTGAAGACATTTTCAAGCCCTACCTTTTTTAAGGGAAGTTCTAAATTAGTATTATCTTTCAAATGCAATTGGAATTTAACTTTTTCATTTTTTTGGCCTGCAAATGGGACATAGTCCCTTTAATGGGTGCAGGATTGAACCCATAAAGGTGCTGCTAGTGTTGCATCGGTTTGCACCCCTAAAGGTGCAGGAATGAACCATAAAGGGTACTATTTCCCCTAAAAGGTTTAATCTGGCACCCTTTTAAAGGGTGCAGGATTGCACCTTTAAAAAGGGTCCATGATTTAACCCCTAAAGGTGCTGCTATTGTTCCATCGGTTTGCACCCCTAAAGGTGCATACTTGCACCATTTTTTCTTAGTGTGTAGAGGGAAGGGTGGCCTGTACAAATGTACTTCTCATTCTTCAAGGAAACAATTATTTTACAAATCAACCAGTTTTTGACAATTTGGACAAAATCAATTTAGGGATTCTTATAGTAATACAAATTTGTCTTTAATGTACTATTACATTGCGAAAAGAGAAGAAAGTTTTATAGCGTCTTACAATGAGTCCTATTTTATCTAGTTTCTTCAAATCTCACACCAATTTATGTTAGCGGAGTGTTTTATAGTCTCACCCTGGTTTGTGCAATATATCTCAGCGTCTGATTGCGATACCACCCCCCTTATTCCTCGGCACGGGTACACCCCTACGGATCCTGCCATTCAATAGGTTCTATTGTACATGGTGTATAGCATGTGTAGGAGAGTGAAATACAAGGAAGCAAGGCCGTTGGGGTTATGAGGGTAGGAGGGGAGGATTTTGCCAAACAAAATGAACAGGCACATGAATATCATAATTTGATGAGCATTTACAGTATGCAATGCAAACAATTACAATATAGTACAGTACTGTACTGTAATACAGTAATGTATTACAGCACTTTACAAACATTTTATCGAAATTTACACTGGTGATTATTACAAGTTTTGGCACTTTAATATACTCTCGTTGTCTAATGTTATCCTCATGTACTATCAATAAACATGTATATCTTTTTGAATGCCTTTCAAGAAGAAAAAGTGTTGTTTAACAGCCCCTTCCCTTTTGTGGCCTTTTCCCCTCCTCAAATTCACTCATATTTTCCCTCTCCTCTAGACATTTTCTTGTGAGGTCCTAACTCGGGCAAAAATCCAGAAAAGCTATTTGGGCTAGTGTTCTCAACAGCGGATTAATTTTAAGTCAGGTTTAATCCCTGACTGAGTCGTCGAGTAGTACCAAGTCAAAGGTCAACCTCCTTATTGATATTGTATACATTGCGATGATTAGGCCTTTCACCAAATGAACTCCATATTCATTTATCAATAATTGCTAGAATAGTTGCAGTTACACTACACTTTTTATCACATGACGAATTATCAAAAGCTAAAAGTGCAACTTTGGAGTGTTTTATATTAAACGCCTGCCGAAATTTCACCCATTTTTGCAATGTCAATGCAAACTTCGCAAAAAAATACAGTGCCTAAGTTCCCGAAAAAAAGTCGCTGCATGTGGACGCACAGTGAGTTGCCATTGCAAATAGCTAGCTGTATATGCTGTTAGCTCGAGGTAGCTAGCTGCTATGTTTCGCGGAATTCACACGAAAGTAAAGTTGTAAAATTCAACATTTAAAGTTTAATAGAAATAAAAGCATACCTTATATGAATGAGTAGTTACATGAACCATCTTTTATCCCAAACACAAAAACATTGCCAATTCAGGGCAATATTTTTGTAAAGAGAAAAAGAGAGATTTGAATGGAAAAGGCGGAATATTATAGCACGAAGCATTACTCTGTCGTGCACACTAGCAGGCTGTGTTAATCGCCGTTCGTTTAGGGGCCAACACATATCCTAAACGGAGCGTGCCCGACTTCTGTGCGAGCTCAAAAGGGCACTTTCGCCAGGAATAGGGCCGGTGTCTGCTCGATGACTGTGACTCTGCCGCGTTTTTAAGGGGTCGGCCGACGTTCGCAGGGCACTGAAACCTGCTTCCAATTCAGCGATTTTCCAATGCCGAATTTTGAGGTCGCAGAACCCGTACACAGATCACCTCTAGATCGCTCGGGCATCGGCAAACATTCGATCGACATTCGGGCTGCAATCCGACGATTTTATACCATTTTTTGCTTTACAAATTCGGACGGAAGTCGGCAGAGCTGCGCGGCCGTGGCATGCAGGGCACTTATATGTCGCTAATGTGTACTACTCATTAAAAAATAAAAAAATAAAAAAATCGGTATGAG